TCAATGGGCATTTGCAACAATCAATGGCTGCTTTCCTATGAGAACTAATTAGAAAGGCAAACATGGCGCACCGCCTCCTTCCTCCTTGCTACCGACCACTGTGAGCTCCAAACTAAGTGCTTCCCCACAGTCAGGGTCAAACTAAAGCCTGATAAAACAGTGATTTTCAATGATCGTCATAGTTGTTTATACGGTTAAGCTGTGAGGCTTTTGAATGACCTTCAGAAGATGAAAATGACCTCATTTGCTTTCATGTATTTTTTCACTATGAGACTTCAAACATTTCAAATAGGTCACTTCAATGAAAGGATGAACTCTGTCTTGCTCCTGTTAATTTACCTTGAATATTTTCACATCCTGTTTTCCCTTTGAATGACTAAGTCTCCCTTTCTGAGTAATTAGTCTATTAGTAATGTTGATCACTGAGTAACAATGATGATGAGTTACATCACTTTTCCTGTTAGACCCTGCAAGTGTGAATCAGGCTTTCATCACTATGATGATGGTTCATTAGCTAGTTTGTTCTGTTGACAAATGCCTCATTGTGACAGAGAGGAAATGTATGCAATAGGACAACACGGTTTTAAATGTTGTTTTTAAATGTATTTTCTTAGCCTGTACAGTATATGTATTGATTCCCTTTATCTATCTACATTTCTCTTATGTGCTGTTTACGCGAGAACGCAAACGGTTGTATCCGCTACTTTTCTCTTTCGTATAGCCCGTTCGTTCACACGAGGCCGTAACGGAAACGCGGAAACGGACCCCACAAACGATAACGGGTCCCAAGGTGGATAGATCTGCAACCTGAACGCTCTGGGAGGCCAAACGGCTCCGTGTGTCCGTCCTATACGTTCATTTCCTAATGATGAAGCCATAGCCCCGCCTCTCCCCACCTCTGCTGCTCACTGCTGTAGTATTGTCAGTAGCTACTGTCAGTAGCTACTGCTACTGCTACTGACCATGCTACAGATGTTAGTGCAAAATCTACAGCTCCTCTACCACAGGGGTTCCCAAACTATTTCAGCATGAGACCCAAAACAGAAATGTTGTGGTCCTAAGGGACCAAAGCTCAAAAAATGTCATGATTTTCCATAATATCTACAGTTATAAACAAAGAATGCAACACACCATGAATTTAAAATGTAAATGAAAATATTTATTTAATTATAAAAGTGCATCGCAGCAATTAGGTTTCTCACCATAACAACCTTCCCTTTGAGCTTGCCCAGAAAAAAATAAGGATCAAAGCAGAAAGACGAAACATGGGACGTGCAGTCAAGTATATACAGTATAAATTTCAATTATACAATTATCAAAAGTGCAATATTAAGTTTGTCGCTAGCTCAAAAACTATGTACACACCATTTTAAACTATTTTAAATGAACAAAGAACAAACATGTTGTAAACAGAAAGGGACAAAACACTAACTGAAGTGCAGTCAAGTGTATTCAGTNTTTTATTCACACACGTTTGCGGACCTGCTTCTCAAGATTTGTTAGGGAACGGAAGATTAGAAATAGGTCTATAGTTGGCTAAAACCTCTGGATCAAGGTTGTGCTTTTTAAGAAGAGGTTTTCTTACTGCTACTTTAAATTATTGTGTAACATAGCCTGATAATAAAGACATATTCATAATATTTAATAAATAAGTGCTAATTAATGGAAAAACTTTCTTTAACAGCTTAGTTGGAATTGGGTCTAATATACACGTTGATGGTTTAGAACAGTGACCACCAACTGGTGGCCCGCGGGCCACATCCGGCCCACCAGACATCCGGCCCGCACGACGGGGGTGACTGTGGCATTGGCGGAGTTCGCCCCCCACCCATTTTTTCTTCTACAACGCCTCGTGAGTAAGGTACAGTACAGGAGTCCAACAGAGAGGCAGCAGCTGCGGGACAGTAGACTGTGTACTGCGAAACCTTCCCTGCCTTGAAGAAGAAGTGATCCTTTGTTGTGAAGAGTCTGCTTTGTGCGCTCCGCACCACAGCAGTATCCCCGCTGCGACAGAGTCCAACAGATACCTCATCCACACCAACGGTGTTTCAGGGCCGGTTTGGAGCTGGAGCTTGAAAAGCACCGGGTTTTCCTCTTCACACCGCATCGGAGCAGCCTCTTAGCTCCGGAATCCGGTTCATTTCGAGCACCAAAAAATTGCCCGGCCAGAGCAAAAGCACCACATACGTCGCGCTTACGTCGAGGCGGGGGCAGGGGCAGGGATGNAAAGAAACTCCAACACTTGGCAACTGATTAACTTTTTTTTTCTGGAGGCTGACTTGATAGGATGCCCTCAGTGCCCCTCTGTTCCCTTGAATGCCTGAAAATAACAGAGAAGATATTATCATTAACATTGCTGGGTTATTGGGTGATTTTTAATACCAGCCGGCGTACGCTGTAACCTGGCAACCGCATTTATAGCGCATTACATTACATGTTACTTGTTAGACGCTTTTATCCAAAGCGACTACATACTCAATACTGTGGGGAATCCCCACGAAGGGATTTTGACAGGGTTGTTGCACAAAAGACCCAAGCGCGCACAGAAGAAATCTGAGAGCAGACATTTCACGAGCACACAGAAACAGCCTGAGTGCGAGGAGAAGGTTTTAAGCTGGAACACAGGAAACCTGTAGACAGAAATGTATCTGAGTGCAAGCGTACAGTTTGAGCAGAAGCAGAGCAAATCTAAGCGCAAGCAGGCACTATTTGAGTGTGAGGACAGGGTTTGAGGGAAATAAATACATATTCTGAACGTGAAATCAATAAAGTATGCTCTCAAATTTAAAGACCACGCTCTTGAATAAAGATAACCCCCATATGTATTCCTATGTGCATCAAACTGCAGCAGTCACGTCCGTGCGGCTGATACTTTCTCTCGCTTTCCTTCTCATACTGCCTGTCACTTTCTTCCTGTGGTTATTGTTTTGAAACACCGCTCTATGCCGCTGCAGAATGTAGTGGGAGCGAGTAGAGGACGCGCGAGGAAGCGCGCAGCTGGCGGTCCGCTCCGGGGCTCAGTCTGCATTTCATCCAACTTTGCATTAACGAAACAATTTCACAACAGACCCTGACAAACTCACAAACACACAAAACAAATGATTAAAATGAGTGACTTACTTTTCCGCTGTCAAAAAACACTGCTTCTTGAAAGTCTCTTCTTTGCAGATGAAAAAATCCTTCGATTTGTCCCGATGCAGAGGATGTTTTGTTTGGAGATGCCGGTCCAATTTATTCATTTTCAAGCTTTCGTTACTGAGCACCTCTCCACATAAAACACACTGAGGCCGCTCCTCTCCATTTCTAACAGCTTCTGTGAAGCCAACGTTTAAAAACTCCTCTTTGTATCGTCTTTTTGCCATCATGTACGATCGGGATTAATCAACAGACAATAAACTTTCGCGGGGGACGCGTCAGAGCTGATACAAATACAATCTTTTATTTTTAGTTTATTTGTATTTAGAAAATTAAATCATTCAATATACAATGCTATATTGCATAATTTCATTTTCAAAATAAAAAATAAAATACAAAAATTATAAAAAAGAATTATTTGCAAAGCAGCCATCAGCTCTGACGCTGTGTGTGGGTAGCAATGCATTTAACTGGCGACCCAATCAAAACGGGTCCGCGACCCATTTTGGGTCGCGACCCTGAGTTTGGGAAAGGCTGCTCTACCACAACCATCAGCAACAAGTGGACATGGAGAATTACATCAACTACATGTTGCTAAATCCACCGCGGAGAATAAACAGAAGGGGTCTGCTTTTGGTGTATTTTGTGGCAAAAGTACAGCGCCACTTACAGGCCCGGCATATGTACTACAGCATCTCCAGCTCTCATGAGCGGTCTCGTGTAAACGGAAGACTTTTTTTATATCGTATTCGGTTCGTTTGCGTTTCGTATGCGTTTCCGTTTGCGTGTAAATGGGGTCTTAGAGTTTCTGAACTGCTTACCTTAATCCCCATTAACTCCATTAACTCCAAATCCAATCCATTTTATTAAAATGATACGCCTATCTACCAATCTACAGGATAAACCTCTGCCCCTTTGGGTATTGCTGTACATTAGACCATGCAGAGACTCACAGATTGACATACTTGATGAATAAACTGAAGACTATGCTGCAAGGCAATTCAAGCAGTGTGGAGTCATCACTTTATACTTTGCTAATTCTTGACAACCCTGAGAAGGATTGTCTGCCCGGGGCCATTTCCGTAGCTAAAGAGAGGGCGGTAAATGTAGCTTCTGTTTGAAGGGCAGAAAAAAAGGCATTAGATATTATCCTTTGGTTTAACTGTTTCTCAACTAAATCAGCCCTGATGAAAAATGAGAGTCGGCTTCATGGCAACAAGTCAGGATATTAACAACACTTTACGGAAATCATTGGCTAAAAAGGACTGAACCTCGTGCCCTGCTGAATGGAAGAGTGACTAAGTACGGATGATATACTGCTGCGGAAGTGGCAAGTTAATACATTACCTTATTGGAGTCAGCTACACAGTAAACCTATTGCAAGAAGAGTAATGGTGTCTCTAGATCATTGAGATATGTGGCACAGCGATTGGAACAGCTTCTAAAGTATGTGCTCCAATGCTAATGTGGCTAAAGGGGTTATCCAGGGAAACAGACAGATAGCAAACGGGCTTATCTGAAAAAAGTGTCTAGCCGCACAGAAAACTCAAGCTGTGCTAAAGTGGACGTGTTTCAGAAGACATTTAAAACGACAGGAAGAAGGTATGAAGCAGCAGCAATCAATCATTAGTCTACGCATTGAAAAGCAAGGAGTATGATTTTCTTTTCATACATTTTAAATATTATTATAGGTGTCAAGCTGAGTTGCTTTTCATTGCTGTGTGAATACATTTGCTGTCTGGGTACACTCTGTACATAAAATAGGGGGGAAAGAGCATTTGATATTGAGGACAGAAGTAATCATTATTCACAAACACACACGTCTCCAAGCACATAGGTAAAGGTGCATCTGAAAGGCACCTCACCTTGAGAGCAGCAGCTGGAGTTGATCCTTTTAGTGTTGGTCTTCTGGGCTGCGGCTGTCAACAAAGAGCAGAGAGGTTGGGGATGTTTAAAACATGTGCTGACTTTTGTACTTGCTTTGGTATCTCCTTTCAAAACACAGCCTAAAGGGAACAAGTGTACTAAATAATAAAATGAAACTTTATTTTCTGAAAAAAACAATGATAACATTGATTTAGTAGGAAGAAACAAGAAACTCATCTTCTGTATGTATTTGACTGCTTAATGACATTCTGTATAATTTTGCTTTATAATGAAAACTTTCACAAAAAAAAGAAAAAGGGGCATAAAAATAATCAGATATAAAAACGGTGTTAAAAATGAAAAGTTATTTAATCTCAAGCCCCTACCAAGTAGAAAGCTCACAGATATAATTGTGCATGTTCCATTCAGTAACCTTATGATGCGTTAAAGCTCTATTTAGTGAAGATGTGTGTTGGTCAAAGGTACAATTATAATGTTGTCCTTAACTGTTCTGGTCAAATGTATTATTTGCAACACAAACATATGTTTCACAGCAATTAAAAAAAGATATAAGTGAGGGAATTATGACCTGATCCGTTGCAACATATTGATCCGTTCTAACCAAAGCCTTGTTTGCTGCATTACTCTGAAGCAATGATCTGCTCTGTGACAACACTGCCAGCACGCACTGTACACAAACACGAAGTGATTAGCATTTATAATGGTTTTGAAGGACACTAGAAATGACTCTCAGTGTACACTTGAGACACGAGCCAGCACTTGATAAAGAGACATGATCGGAGTCAGGGGATGCAGACAGGTGTGTGTGTGAGTGTGAGTGTGAGTGTGGTGTGTGTGTGTGTTCTTATTACAGGATTATGACCTTTCCTGTTGCATAAGGCACTCGTCTTATGAGCTCCTCTCATCGTCCTCATAGGCAGCCATATTGTTTAGGCACTTACAATCAGTGTTAGATCTAGTTCAAGTGTTTATTAAACATATGTGTAAAACGCCCATGTCACATACTGTGCATAAGCATAAACCTGCTCAGCTGTGGCTGTTGTCAATCCCTCTGAGTGCTTTCAACTGACCAGGGGTCAGACTGTAAAGCCCCTGATTCACTCTGTGCCTCCATGTTGAGGAATGAGAGACAAAAACCCATCATCTCCATGTTATATTCATCACATGACTTTGGTGTGATGGTTTGTGTGTTAATAAATGTATGCCTTTACCTCAGTGTACTACTGTAGGTCACACTTGAGTCGGAATCAAACATGTGTCGTCTCTTAACGTACAGTATGTAAGACTTGCATACAAAATACGCTGCAACTGAAGAGGATATTTGCAAGGACAGAGACGAAACCGACTATGTAGTGCTTTAAGATTATACATGAATGTAGAAATAAACAAATCCTTCACATCTAGGTCAGCAAAATTGGATCAGTTTAATCTTACTAGTGTGTCAACATAAAAGGGCATTCAAAGAAAATGACAACAAAGTCACAATTTCATGTAACAGGTTCCAAATAGGTTAGCAAATAAAATCAAGTCAGCACCGAATGAGTTCCTATTCCGTACCCCAACTGAATAATCTCACAAGATGATTGGTAGGCAAACATGTCACAGATAGTGAAATGAAAAATGCTGAGAAGTATTCCAAGTTGAAGTGACAGGCTCTAGTTCTTTGGGAATCAGGCGGAGTATGGTCTCACATTTTAAGATATGAAAAAAGTCAAAATCCACTTTTCTGAAAAGGAGAATTTGGAAAACAACCAAGACTGACTCAATCAGAATGATGAAAGCACCGAATCAATCTGAAGCTAGAAGACAAACAGTGAACACTTAGACAGAGTTTCACTTGAATAGGATTTGGGACTCTATACAGCCCAAGTTATGGTACCTGTTTATAAATGTTCTTACTCCTGAATTTGTGTATATATCCTTTTTATATGCATAATCTATTGTTGTGTTGGGCTGAAGATGACACTGTCCAAAAAGTACTCAGTCACTTAGTTTAGTTTAAGTACACAAAAGATAAAGAGCCTCTAAAATGACTCAAAATGGTAATAATAATCATATTTTGGCATAAATAAAGGAATATACAGATGGTGATTCTGAATTATAAATCCAATTACAAACACAGAGAGAAAGAGAAGTGACAGCAATGACATACACCCAGTCACAGGGAGTGAAGTGTGTGTGTATGTTATTATTTACACATCATTCACTCCATCACTTATTTATTCTTGGGGACATCTAACAGTTTAGAGGAGAGAGTGACAGAACAAGAGAGCGAGATGAGAAAAGAGTGTAGGCGGTGACACAATGACAAAAATCAAAGCTCAAAAGAAGAGAAAATAGTTGGTTGATTTTTACAGCGTCCAAATACCGGAAAATATAGAAACACACAGAGACACACGTGCGTCTGCGCCCACCATCATACGACGGCCCTCCTTTTGGCTTCTCGGGGGCCACCGTTCGAATCTGGCACTGGAAGTAGACAGCAGCTGCTACATGAGCCACACGCTACACATGCACTCTTTGTGTCATGCTCACCCACACAAACACACTGACACACAACTCAATTCACCGCCCATACTTCTCCCTACAGTATGTGTACAAAGGAGGAGACAGGAAGCTACTGTAATGAATTAAATAATCAGAAAAACCCAGGAATCCAATATAATAAAGATTGACAAAAGTCAGCTGCAACATATACACACCGCTAAGTTGGGATATGTTGTCACCGTCTGCATTTAAATCTTTACAAATACCTAAATGAATGAGGGTATAATGAGACAATGACAGTACTAATGTACATAAAAAAATGGAGCCTAATGCATATACTGTGTAATTGATTTGTTTTTAGAAGAATACAGTACTGTCAAATACTTTTTCGTGCTGGATACATTTGTAATCATCTAAATATCCAATTTGCATTCGATTATGTGAAAGTTGCATTCAATTTATTTGTATCATAATTACTGGTTATCTTCAGAGGGTAGACACACGCTCACAATGAACTAGTTTAAATGAGAAGGATAACAAAAGTTGACTTTTCTGGTAGACGGATTGATTCCTGTGGTTATCCTGATCATCCGCACAGCCCTGGCACACTGATGTAATTGCCAATTTTGAAAGAGAGCTGATAGTGAATGATATGACTTTTGAATCAGATGGCAAGTAATGAGTGTCATAATGTTTTTTGTCAGAAAATAATCCTGTCACTGATTGAGAAGGAGTGCGGCCCGAACAGTCAGGTGTTACAGCTTGTGTTCTAATAAAGTGAGACGTATCACCGTAGATGGTGATTATGCTGCATATCAGCCATCAGAGACATTTTGACTTTGAACTGGATTTTGAACTACTGATTTTCACCTATAGCATTTCAAATGAGCAAGCTAATCTAACCCCTTAATGTTTATTCAACCTCACCCTGTCGCAGTTCCTTTCATAATAATGACTTGCTCGCTGAACATTATAGCATTTTACACAGCTATCAATTCAAGTAATTAATACTTTAACCCAAAATATCGATTGAAGAAATATTTCATTATGAAAATTATCGATATAAAAAAAATACTCTCCTCGCTGTGTTTGAGGAAAGAATTGCATCAATAGAAACAATCTGTTATTCATAGCAGCCATCTGTTACAAATACAAATAACAAGATTTGAGTATTCCAACAAAGCGATAAATTAAATTACCAATAAACACTTATATTTCAGAAATGTTTAAAAAAATCTGCATGACAGGGATTATAGCATGTGGAGCAGATCGTCCCTGTTTTAAATTGCATACCATTACTAAATATTTTGGTTGCTTTTACTACTTTGATGTAACCTCCTCCCTCTCCCTGAGGTGTCATGGTGAAGCTGAAATGTCACGGCGCTGAAAGCATTGCACTCTGCATTTCCCCCCGGCCAGCTGCAGACCCCCTCTGTCAGACGACAAACTTCCCAGCTATTTGTCCTCATTACAGAACAGCCTCCGACTGCCCACCTTAATTCCCACGCCTGCCTGGCATGAGTCATTTTTACGACGGCCACTTCGGCCCCCGTTAGCCCGGGCTGCCTATGCTTTAAACCCAGCTAGGCGAGTAAATCTGCCAGATTTAATTAAAATAGCTTCTTTTGCAGCTCTCTCCGTCCTCTTGTACCTGATGACATAATGGTGCTGGGATGTTCCTTCTGCAGAGCTGGCTCAAAAAGACTAACCCTTTGAAAAAAAATGGAGGTGTGTTGGATTATTTTATGATGAGTAAGCAAGAAGTAAGCCCCATCTCATTTTATCTGCTCATCATCTTGCTGTGACCTGGTTTCCTGAGTGGAAAGATAATTATGAAGGTCATGGGCGAAGTGATAAGGAGTCTACATAAAACCTTTAAAAAAAATTGAAATAAAAATCAATGAGCAAAAAACTTCCATCAAGGTTTAATTGTCTGTGGAGTGACAAATAACGACCTTGCTGTCTTTCAAGGTCAGGCTTTCTTGGGAGAAGTAACGATTTGTGAGGCTAAATCAATGAGGCTCATTCGAGCCCTTTTCCTACATTATTGTTCAGGGACTGTTTGGTGCCATTGATCAGCCAATTTATAGCTTGCATCTGCTCTGGGCTCTCAATGAATGTGGAGACGCTCACAGCACATAAAGAAAGAAGAGAAGAAGAGGAGCACATACAGTGCCCTTATAGATTTATTTTTTTCAATGTTCAAGCTTTAATGTGCTGTTATAATGTATCCAATGCAGTAAATATGCTCAAAAAGCTTACTAAAGCAATTTCAGTGTATACTTTATGCAGAAACTGAGTGATAACAAAGTCTCACACTTAAAGTCTCTAACAGCCTTGGGTTGGCCACAGTTGCAATTGTCACTCCACAGAGAAAATGACTCTTTGTATTATCAGTTTTGTGATACATGGGGTCAAAAACAATACTACGTTTCAAAGAGACATATCAGTCAAATATTTTGATGCCATTTATGAATTCAGGGAGCCATTGTGCATATGCTTTATTAGCCCAAAGAGAGGAAGGAGGACCAACAATGGACCTAAA